GAGGGCGGGGGGGGAGGAGATTCTCTTATGATGGCCTTTTGAGTTCCACGTGATGCGAAGGACTACCCCAAACCCCCCCCCCCCCCCCAAAAAAAAAAAAAAACACCCACCCACCAACAACAGCAATTTGTGGAGGAAACTCCTTTTGAGAATCACGCCCCGGTTCCGTCCGTTACTTTGCAGGGGAGTACTTTGTTTTTAGGGTGCCCCTGCATTGTGAGGATTTTGTTAGGTGGTGGCTTTGGGGTGGCTCGTGTCAAAAGGTGATGGTTAAAACCCCTACGGGGGAAATAGATTTGGATCCATAGGTGTCCAGGAGTGAGTTTGGTTAGAAATAGATGGGTTCCACTGATCCAGATGAGTTTGACACCATCCATTTTGCAGAAAAAAGAAAAAAGGAAGACACAAAACAACAGCCATCCATTTTTCGAAACCGTCACCTATGGCTGGACCCTTATTAGCCTGGCCAGGTTTTAACAATTTCTTTTCGCCCGGGAGGCTCCATTTTTTTTGGCCCTTGGAGCTCCCCCCCACCCCGGTGTCCCGTCAGGTGCCGGACGCCCTGTTCTTCCTGGGGGTGCTCTTCGCGGTGGGCGGCCTGGAGCGCGTGGGGCTGCTGAAGGAGTTCGCGGTGCAGCTCACCAACCTGGTGCCCTATGACGCTCGACCGGGTTGTTGGATGCATGGAGTGCGGGGGGGGGGGGGGGTCTGCTGGTTTGGGGTGTTCCCTCCCCCCTGTCCTTGCTTTTGTGGTCCTGTGGGTTGTGGGTGGTGGTTGTTTGGTTTAGAAGTGGTTGGTTTAGAAGAGGGTGGTTGTTTGGTTTCTTGGGGTTGGTTTGGGGGTTGGGGTTTAAGACCTCCAAGGGTCCAAAGCCGAGCTTTCCGCTCGGTTCCCACCCCGTTAGGCTTTTAGGCTTTTAGGGTTTTAGTGGCAGTACTCAACCACTAATTCTAGACTCTTAGCAGGGGATCATTTGGTCCAATTTTTTTGGGGAGGTTCCAGACACACCGAACCACTTGAAAAACGAACATGGGGCACCCTTTCTCCCACAAACAGAAGCAATTTGGAGGGTACCTGAAAGATCAGTTTCCTCTTAAGGTCAGGTGCTATGTTATTGGGAGGGAGGGTAGCCCTTGGCATCGAATTGCCTGGTTAAGAAGATTTTTCACAGAACTCCTGGGAGAAAAACGGGGTACTCCCTATGTGGCTATGCCTTGTTTAAGAGTTGGAAACACCTCGAAAGTGGGACATCAATCCACACGAACAAGTTCTGTCCACGTTTTCTTTCTGACACTTTGCGCCAAACGTCCAGTTATTTTCTTGCCGAAGGATCAGACAAACAAGAACAGAGATCATTTGTCGCCTTGCTTGCATGAGGGATTTCTGTGGGTCTATGGATCTCAAGCCGGACTGCTCAGTTCAGTGGATCCCACCCTCTACACTTTTTGTTCGGTTCGGAGACATGCCAAATGGGCTCAACCCTCGGAAGGGTTCCCTCGTCGCTGGGTGTGCGGGGAAGAAGCGGCCCTGCTGCAGGGCACAGTGCCGTTTCTGTGGTTCCATTGAAGGCTCTTGATGCTTGGCCAGCAGGTAATCTTGTTTGTGCATCGCGCCGGGGCCGACCCGAAAAAGCGAAGCTTGAGGATGGGCAAATCAGAAATGGAGAGAGACCCCGACATGTGCACGTCAACGAAAACCCAGCGCGTCCACCCAAAAAGCAGTCCCTCGTTTTGGGGTAATTCCTGCGGTGCGATGATGTGCGATGTGTTAGAAGAGGAACAATATGGTTCTGGTTCAAAATTAAGTCACCCAGCGACCTCAGGTTTTGGCCTATTTTTCCATTTGCCAGGGTTTCATTTTGGGTACCTATTTTTGACCCACAGCCACATGGCCGTGAACATTTCCCGGGGAACCCTTCCGCGGGGCCCGTCCGAGGAGTCCTTGGTGGCGGTCTTGCTGGGCTTCGCCTCCGCCATCGTGGACAACGTGCCGTTGGTGGCGGCCGCCCAGGGGATGTACGACATCGCGGCGCCCGGGACGTCGGCCGAAAGGGTCGGCCGAAACGGGGGGGGAGGGAGGGAGGGGGGAGGGGAGAGGGGGGAGGGGAGCCCTTTGGTAAAAGACCGTTTGTTTTTTTTGCAACTTTTCCGTTTGTTTTGAAACCTCAGAAGGTTTCCGATTTTGGTTTCCCTTTTGGAACACAGGGGTTTCTCAAATGGTTAGGCAATGGATTGTTTGGGGTCATTCATTCGCTGATTCCCTGAGAGCCAGATTCTTGTTTGGTTCTCAGAAGGTTCCATTTGGTGTCTCAAATGGTTTGGTTAAAGGCCTTTTTTAATAAATAAGCGGATCTCTTTCGCTTTTGGTTTGACCTTTTTGGAAAAGGATATTTTCCCTTGACCTTTTCGGAAAAGGATATTTTCCCACTCGCCAGCCAAAGGTTTAACCCGCAGGGCTCCTAAGACTGACCAATCCAGACAGACTGTTGCAGCTTGGGTAGATGTCTAGATCATGTTCGTAAAGGTCCCGCCTCCCCCCCCCCCCCTCCACACAAAAAGAGAGAGAAAAAAAAGCACCCCCACACCCACACCCACCCTAAACAGCAGAACCAACATAGCAAGTTAACACTTTTGGTCGTTCAGTTGAGCCTGTCAGTGCATCTGAAACCCCTTCACTGCGTGATGGAGGCTTAGGATGGCGACCAAGGACATTCCTCTGCCAGGAAATGGACTTTGCGTTTCAACAGGGGTTCTCTTTGGGGAAATCAGCTTCCGGATATCTGTGCGAGAGTGCGTGCTTTGTTGCGGAATCCTTTTTTTGGGGGTGGTGCCCAACGGGAAGCCAAGGGGAAACCCACAGCTTTTTTGGGGTCGCTCCATTCTTTTTGGGGGTCCAGTGTTGAGACGCCCCGGACTTCCGCGCCAAGGAGCATCCTTCCAACGCATTCCTCTGGAACATGATCACCTACTGCGCGGCCACGGGCGGATCTTTGTTGGTGATCGGATCTGCCGCAGGACGGGTGGTCGAAAAAGAAACCAAGAATTCTTGGTGGAACAGGAGGATTGTCCCAGGTTGGGGTGGCGGGTTTCTGACATTGAGTGTGGCGTTGTTGTTTTTGGTCTTGTTTTTCCGCCCCACCCCCTCCCCCCGCCCAGTGGGAATCCTGCGACTTTGATGCGATTTTGTAGAATGTTGAGTGGCGGTTGAGCCCCTTTGGCCTCCTCACAAAATAGCCGCAAGCAAAGCCAGGTGGCGAAACTGTGCTTGGGTTTGCCCGCCCGACTCATGTCAGGGGCCTTTCCCTGGGTTGTTTTCTCGTTTTTGCATTTTCTTTCGGGTTTTCCCTCTGGTGCGGGTTTCTCTCTCTCTTTTTTTGGTTTTCCCTCGGGTTCGGGTTCTTCCGGGTTTTTCTTCCTGGGGTTTCCCCACGTTTTGTTTGTTTTTGGGTGGGCTGAGGCGTCGCCTTCATGGGCATGGAGCGGAAGGTCTCCTTCGGGTGGTACGTGAAGTCCATCGGCCCGGCGGCCCTGGCCGGGTACTTCCTGGGCGTGGGCGGCATCCTGGGCCAAAACGCGCTGGGGCTCAGCGTCACCGGCTGAGCGCCGGACCGTACAAGTAGCCCTGGAGAGAACCCCCGGGCGGAAGCCCCGCGCATTGTTTTGTTCTTGAATTTTATTTTTGGCTTCTGTTGGTTTTCCCCCTTCCTACCAGGGGTTCTTGGACCTCCGTTCCGAACGCAAGAGCCGGCGAGCTCAATGGGGGAAGCTGGAGCTTCCTAAAGCATCAGCATCTTCAGTTGCTCCCTTGGGCGGTGGCTCCGACCTTGAAATAATATGATGCTTACACTTTCTAAAAGCGACCGAGTCGCTTTTTCTCCAACATGAGATCATGGAGCCGTTTCAGTGGGGAGTCGTCGGGAAAAAAACAAGGCGCGCCGGGTGGCCTTGCCACAGGGGAAAGCGGATGGGAATGAAAGGCCCGGGCGCGGAAGTGAAGGGTTAATCCTGTGATTTTCGTGGGCAAACGGTAGATGCTCCCATGTTTGCTGAGCCTCTTTTGGGTCTGCAATCATCACAAGGGGGCGCAGGTGGTAGGCACTTGCTGGTAAGAGTATTGCAGGTTCTGGCCTGAGACGCCAAAATGACGATCAGCTTGGTGGCTCTTTGTATGATTGATTGATTGAAGGCCCCTGCAAATGTGACGAGCTGAAATGAAAAGAGGCGTCCTGTAGGAAGCCTAGGAGCTGCCCTCAGATTCCCGCGGAACCCTTGCCCTTTTAGGTGGCCCTCCTGCAAATTCACCAAGCGAACTTGGGGAATGGGCCAACATTTCTGGGAATATTCGCGGAACGCCTACGGTACGAAGCCCTACCCATTTAGCAGTTCACGCCTCCATCAAAAGGCCAAGCCCTGAAACTCAGGCTTAACCCGTTTGATGTTGATCGGAGGGTGCTGCATGAGAAAGGCCTTCGCATCCGGGAAAACGGCCTTCGATATTCGGATTAACCCGTAGACATTAGACGGGTACCCCAACTAGTAGAAGTTGGGCTTAAGTATTCCCAGAAAGTTTTGTTTAATTCTTTTTGCTGGTGGGTACTGGGTACCCCCTGGAATCCCCCCCCCACCCCCCCAAAGTCTGGCAGTCCAAGATGGCTTCAACTACCCCCAAACACTATCCCCAAGCAAACCCCACCGAGATTTAATGAGATACACGGCCACTATATCGCCAGTATGTTACAGGGTATCATGAAGCACCCCGCAGGCGAAGGTGCTTTTTTCTCCGGGTGCCCCCATTTTTGGCCTTGAAACTAACCCCATTTGTTTGGGGGTTCCCCAGAATCAGCTCCCCTTTTCGATTTCTTTTTGGCTTTGTTGGGGGCCCCCGTTGTTTTCCACTCACCAAGCAATAAGTCTTTGGTTCTTTTTGCAGGGGTCCTAATTCCAGCCATGCCCAATGGCACCCCCCCCCCCCAGTGGTTCGGGTGGAAAACCACGGACAGGTGCTGGACGCCTTGCGTGCGGAGGAGAAGCGCCGCAAGAGCCACGCGGCAACAGCAGGCCACCAGCCCGTGCAGGAGATCCAAGCCGCGGGTTGGTTTTCCGGCAAAGAAATCGAGCTGCAGCTGGGGTTAAACCGTGTCTGTTGCATGGGTTTTAGATGAAAATAAAGAACATTTGCAGCTGGGGTTTGTGTCAAACTGCAGGGAAACCCTGAAACTTCCATTTGCTGAAGATTTGTTTTTCTGGCTTATGTGTAAATCTTCCATTTGTTGTCAAACTGAAGGGAAAGCTCGAAAATCCCATTTGCGTTTCAGCATGTTGGCCCCCGGATGTTTTTCTGGGCGCATTTTCCATTTTTTTCCAAGGGGGACGACGCAAATGGATGCCGAGGGCCCAACCTCTAGCTACAGCCCAGCTTGGCTGGGTGGATTGATTGAGTTCGTGGTTGGACTTTTTCTCCAGCTTTTTGGGAAGACCTTTTGGCAAGCAAAAACTCTGTGTTATTTTTTGCCAATCTTGAGGAGGCGAGTCACTGTCCTCGGCAAGTTGTTTTAGTTTGTTTCTGGGTGTTTTGGTCCTGTTCAATTTTTGGGCTGCAAAGAACTGCCAACATGCCGAGCGTTGGTAAGAACAGAGTCGGTTCGTTATTTTTGCCTCTCTTTTTTTTCCCCTCCCCCGCCTTATGAGTACCCGCGCTTTTGGGTCTTCTGGGTGCAGGGCGTTTTGAGGTGCAGTTGAACTTTTGAAAGGGTGACTTTGATTCCCGGCCATGGTTGCGGAACCTAGGGTTTTAGGGCAGGTTTCTGTGATACTTTCTGTGAATCCCCTTTAGCTCATCTTTGAGTTGATGGACATTTGTTTTTATGAAGACCAGCTTAGTGGTAAACACACAGCTTGGACGTTTTGTGGCCAATCCAAATCCACTCAGGAAGTGAGTTAGAGTGTGAAAAGAGTCATGGGAATCAACCAGTTTGGTATCACAGGGGCGTGTCCCACAACTTTGACTTCGAAAACTGATAGCCCTGAAAAAGGGAGCGACAGAAAACCGAAGGAAACAACAGAAAACGAAAGGAAACCGCAACAAATTACAGAAAACCGCAGGAAACCACAGAAAACCACAGAAAACCAAAGGAAACCACAGAAAATCGCAGGACGCCGCAGGAAACCACAATGAAACCACAGAAAACCAAAGGAAGCCAAAGAAACCAAAAGGAAACTAAAGGAAACCAAAGGAAACCGCAGGAAACCAAAAGGAAACCACAGGAAACCAAAGGAAACCAAAGGAAACCACAGAAACCCTCAAGGAAACCACAGAAAATCACAGAACACTAAAGGAAACCGCAAAACCAAAGGAATGCACAGAAAACCCAAAAAACCACAGAAAGCCAAAGGAAACCAAAGGAAACCAAGTCAAAAGTGACAACCGATGACTCCAGGAGCTGGAGACGGTGGAAGCTTTGCTGAACACGGTGACCGGCGAAGACGGCGCCGAAGGTTTGTACGTGGACGGCACCTTTGGGCGCGGGGGCCACGCCAGGTCCATCTTGGCGCCTCGACTTCGGGAAAGCTCGGAAGCTGCGGGGGGCTCGCCCCCCTAACCTTGCATTTGCTGCTTTGTTTTCCTTGTTTAGGCTCAAGGAATCCGAGGAAATGTAGGGGAACTTAAGGAGATGTAGGGCTCACTACCCACCGGAGTTCCACAACCGGCCCCAACTTCCGGCCTTGCCTTTTTGAAACCGCAAGCTGCAATATCAGAAACATAGCCAGGGCCCTTCTCAACTTGCTTTTGGGTTGGTACTTTAACAAAAAAAACAACAGGGCCAGCGTTTTGCAGAGGAGTTTTGCGCCACCAAGTCACCCACCAGTCGAGGAAAAGGAGCACCTGGAGCGTGGCAGCTTATCCCTCCAAACCTCCAAACCGCCAAACTTGCAAAACACGGAAGGTCCAAAAGGTCCACCCCGCCAAAAGGAAGGTCCCTTAAAATTGGCCCAGAACGGCGATGCCTCAAACCAAGAGGGGGTCCTCTGGGGAGCCCTGCGTCTCCAAACCCATCGGGGTTTGTCTCAAAATACGCTCCAGCCCCCCCCCCCCCTCCGTGCCATGGATGCGTAGGGCAGTGTTTTGCAGCCATGAGTCTTGGGAACGTGGGTTATTAAATAGACCCGAAGCGTCCACCCTACGACCCTGCCCCCCCCCCCCCCCACAAAAGAAAAAAAGCAAGAAGCAAAAGAGTGAGTGGGTGTTCTAAAGAAGCTCCCCCCCAAAAAAAAGAAAAGAAAAGAAAAAAGGACAAAAAAACATCAGGGGAAACCAACCAGAAGCTTTGGACCACCAACATGGAACCTAATCGGGGTCGTTGGGGCCTGCCTTGATAGCCGGCGGGACGGCAAACACCTTCCTTCTGAAAGTTTTCTTTTTTTGGCATGGGCTTTCCGTTCGGTGGGGTGGACCTTGCAGACCTTACCTTGTTGGACCTTCCTTTTACAGGATTTCCCCTTTTGGAGGTTTACAAGGGACCTATGGCTGTGGGTCAAACCCAGTGGTACCATGTTGGGGCAGGTGCACCACCCATTTTAATTAGTCTGTTTTAGTCGGGATCGGGATGTTTGGTGCCATGTTGGGGTAGGTGCACCACCCATTTTAGTCTGTTTTAGTCGGGATCAAGATGTTTGGTCCTGTTTGGTGCCATATTGGGGTAGGTGCACCACCCACTGGGAGGTTCACTGGGGGTGCGCGTTTTTGGACCCATGGCCATCTGGGGATTTTGGAGACGCTCGGAGGCCAGCGAGGGGTCGGGTGCTGCAAGCGCCCGAGCGAGGCGCGCCTGGGCCCCTCCGGGCGGCTCTGCGGCTTCGACGTGGACCCCAGGGCCGTGGCGGCGGGGCGGGAGCTGGAGGCGGAGGATGCGCGCGCCTTGGGCCGTTGGATTCGTGAACCCTTGTTTGGTTTGCTATTGTTTCTTTGGGCCGTTCTTTTTGTTTCTTTCTTTTTTTGTCCGGGGGGGGCGGGGAGGGGAGGGGGGTTACATGTGTATATATATATATATATATGTATGTGGAACCCCGATTTTTTTGCTTTTGCTTTCCTTTTTTTTTTGAGGGGGGGGGGGAGGGGGGGGAGGGGCGGTTATATATTTTTATATACATTTATAGCCTGGGCGGTTCCCAGCCATCCACTTCCGGATGGAAACAGCGCAGGTGAACTGCCAGCTGTTGGTTGGAAGGGAGGGAGCTGGGGGTGTCCAAATTTGCGTCTAAGCAGGGAGCTAAGAAACACATGTATCCTTGGTGGTTCCCAGCCATCCACGCAGGTTTTTGGTTTTCATTGGTTTAGAGTCTTAGTCGTCTCCATGTGGCCCACCAGATCACTACAAGACTTGCAGCCCGGGACCTGGGGAGGCTGAGTTTTAGGGGTCGCTTTTTGGTGGGGCTCCGGATCCTCGAGGCTCCGGATTCTCAAACGGGGACACCCATCTTTTGACTAGGTCCCCCAGTAGTGCCCTTTTACCGTTTTTTTTTTGTTTTTTTTGTTTTTTTTGTTTTTTTTTTTGGGGGGTTGTGAGGGTTCACCTAAAATAGACCTAGAGAAAAAATCGGGTACCCTTGTTCCAACCTCTCTACTGGAGGACCTAGGCAACAAGGAGCAGTGCAAAGTCCAAAAGTCCAGAAAGAACCCCCAAGGTGCAGGGTCGAAGTTTCAAGAAGCTTCACCTTCGATCTTCCCCTGGTTCAGGTGCTCTTCGAGCTTCCCCCGCCCGAGGCTTCACCATCTTCCACCGGCCCTTCGCCGAGATGCACGCGGCGCTCGCGGCGGAATCGGAGGCGCCGGGAGCGCCGGAGGCGGAGGGCGTGCTGTTGGACCTGGGGGTGTCCAACAACCAGGCCAGAAGGGGGTGGGAGAGGGGGAGTGGGAGGGGGGGAGTGGGAGGGGGCGAGTGGTGGGGCGAGTGGTTGGGGGAGAGGTTGGGGGAGTGGTTGGGGGAGTGGTTGGGGGAGTGGTTGGGGGAGTGGTGGAGTGGGTCATCGGGGAGAGGGTCATTGGGCGGTTCCCTGACGCTTTTTTTTTGAAGTTTTTAGGTTTAGTGGGTGTGTCCATTTCACCCACAAGTTCGTCACTTTTGGCAGGGGATCGGAAACGGAGAACCCAGACAAGGAGCGGCCCATGTTTTCTCGCCAACCGCCATCACTCTCGGCAGGCGGACGAGGGTCTCCGCATCTCTGACCACGTGCCAGTGGACATGCGCTGCTTGGCTGGTGGGAGGCAGCTCGCGGTTGCCCATCTTTCTCATGCGGCAGGTTCGGTTTGTTCGGTTTTTCTGTTTCGCTTTGCGGGCTCATGGGTTTCTTCTTCTTCGGGGGTGCCAAAAAAAACAAGGTTTGGCGAACATGGGGCGGCCGGATCCGGCCTCTCGGGTGTCTTGCTTGCTGTGGCGAACATTTTGGGTCAAGAGGAGCGAAAAGTAAATTGGGGGAGGGAGGGGGGGCATGCAATGTTGACCGGGTTGGTCAGTAGGACTTTTTTTTTTTTTTTTTATTTGTTTTTCATTTTATTTTATTTTTATTTTTTAAATGGAGGCCCGGCAAGAACAAGCACTGCGAGGCCAACATTGGAATGAACATTTTTTGTTTAAAACATTAAGCCTTTGAAAGGGGGGGATTGTTCAGGGGTCATCCCCTTGAAACAGCAAGATGCGAGAGGTCACCGACTGGAGTTTCCAGGACTTTGGTGGCTGATCCATCTGGGTCCATCAACATGTTGAATTTGGGGGTGGTTGCCTTTTTTCCGGCAAACCCCCTTTTTGCTGGTGTTAAAGGGAGACCGATGGGAAACCAACAATTTTGGTGGTCCCCCTTTTGAGACAAATAACTAACCTGCAGGTTTTCTTGTTTTAAGTTGTAGATTTGGGGACAGGGATTCCGCCTTCCCCCCCCCCCCAGTCCGTTGCTGGCCGCCCCTTTTCTCTTTGCACGGGCCAATCAAATGATCGGAACTAGTTTGAACCCTCCTTTCCCGGCATCCCCGCTTCAACTCAGACCTCCAGTTCGCCGCTTTCATTTGCTCGAGGATGTTGTTTATTTTCCCCCGTTTTTTTTTCAAGGGGAATCTATCACTACTGGACATATTACTTCATAAACAACCAAAAAAGCACATTTTTTTTTTTCCAGCGGGGAAGGCTGAAGGCAAATGGCAGGTGGCGTTTTAGAGTCGCCCCTTCAAATCAGCGGCTTGAAGCCCGGAGGCCCCGTTTTGGCCATGGCCGCTGGAGCTGCTGACCCCTTTGAACCCCGCCCCTGTCGGTGGCTCGGGCCGAGGACTGAACCCGTCCGAGGGGGTTTCGGCCTCAGAATGGCTGCAGCAAGTCTCTGTGGAGGACCGCCTGGAGCCATGTGCGCGTGTTGGAGGCTTCCTTTCGTGCGGACTCATTCGTTGTTTTGATCTTCCCCCTGGCGAGCTTTCCGCTGGTTCGGCGGCTTTTTGCGGTTGCACCCCCTTATTGCCCATGCGGTTGACGCGCGGTTTGCCTCCGGATGGGTTCCTAGGAGCTGGCTTGGGTCATCCACAGCTACGGCGAGGAGACGGGGGATGGGCATGGCCAGTGGCTCCATCAAAATCGGGTACCAGTGAACATCAGCCAATCCAACCACTAAAATAGACTAAAATGGGTGGTGAAATCACCTACCCCAAAACGGGATCCCATTTTTTTGGGTTGAGGTAAGCAACAAGATGAAGCCAGAAGGGGGTTCTCCATTTGTATTTTGTCTCAAGAATGGGGGTCCTTGTTTTGTTCCGGCTTTTGAACGGACATCCTGTGCACAGCTACGCAAATTAGTGAATTAAGCACAGAAATGCAGAACATCTACACACATTCCTACACAAATGAACATCACACGCGGGACATTCAATTAGTGCCTCCACTTTATGCACGTATTCATTTTTCCGCACATTTTTCTTGGTAGACACGCATATGGGTGTGTCATGTTTAAGGGGAGAGGACTCCCCCTCCAAAATTGATGGTTTTCCTTTTGGTTTGAATTTTCGAAAGCTGCAAGCCACCCTGAAAAAATCGGGGAGGGGGGCAACTCCAAAAAAGGGCGAGCTGCCCAGAGCTTTCTTCCATTTGGTTAAGGCCCCTGGAAAGAATGAAGCACATTTTCCAGTAGTGATAGATTCCCTTTAGAACCAGGGGAAAATAATGACAATAATGATAAGAATAATGATCATAGAAGAATCATGATAATAGAAGAATAATGATAATAAGAACAATGATAAGAAGAAGAATCATGATAATAGAAGAATAATGATAATAAGAATAATGATAAGAAGAATAATAATGATAATAATAATAATGATAAGAAGAAGAATCATGATAATAGAAGAATAATGATAATAAGAATAATGATAAGAAGAATAAAAATGATAATAATAATAATGATAAGAAGAATAATGATAATAGAAGAATAATGATAATAAGAATAATGATAAGAATAATAATAATGATAATAATAATAATGATAAGAAGAATAATGATAATAAGAATAATGATAAGAAGAATAATAATGATAATAATAATAATGATAAGAAGAAGAATCATGATAATAGAAGAATAATGATAATAAGAATAATGATAATGATAATAATAATAATGATAAGAAGAAGAATCGTGATAATAGAAGAATAATGATAATAAGAACAATGATAAGAAGAAGAATCATGATAATAGAAGAATAATGATAAGAAGAATAATGATAAGAAGAATAATAATGATAATAATAATAATGATAAGAAGAATAATGATAATAATAATAATGATAAGAAGAATAATGATAAGAAGAATAATAATGATAATAAGAATAATGATAAGAAGAAGAAGGATAATATAAGAATAATGATAATAAGAATAATGATAAGAAGAATAATAATGATAATAAGAATAATGATAAGAAGAATAAAAATGATAATAATAATAATAATGATAATAAGAATAATGATAAGAATAATAATGATAATAATAATAATGATAAGAAGAAGAAGGATAATATAAGAATAATGATAATAAGAATAATGATAAGAAGAATAATAATGATAATAATAATAATGATAAGAAGAATAATGGTAAGAAGAATAACAATGATAATAAGAATAATGATAAGAAGAATAATAATGATAATAATAATAATGATAAGAAGAATAATGATAAGAAGAAGAAGGATAATATAAGAATAATGATAAGAAGAATAATGATAAGAAGAACATCATGATAATAAGAATAATGATAAGAAGAATAATAATGATAATAATAATAATGATAAGAAGAATAATGATAAGAAGAATAATAATGATAATAATAATAATGATAAGAAGAAGAAGGATAATATAAGAATAATGATAATAAGAATAATGATAAGAATAATAATAATGATAATAATAATAATGATAAGAAGAAGAAGGATAATATAAGAATAATGATAATAAGAAAAATGATAAGAAGAATAATAATGATAAGAAGAATAATGATAAGAAGAATAATGATAAGAAGAATAATAATGATAAGAAGAATAATGATAATAAGAATAATGATAAGAATAATAATAATGATAATAATAATAATGATAAGAAGAAGAAGAAGGATAATATAAGAATAATGATAATAAGAATAATGATAAGAAGAATAATAATGATAAGAAGAACAATGATAAGAAGAATAATAATGATAATAATAATAATGATAAGAAGAAGAAGAAGGATAATATAAGAATAATGATAATAAGAATAATGATAAGAAGAGTAATAATGATAATAATAATAATGATAAGAAGAAGAAGGATAATATAAGAATAATGATAACAAGAATAATGATAAGAAGAATAATAATGATAATGATAATAAGAATAATGATAAGAAGAATAATGATAAGAAGAATAATAATGATAAGAAGAATAATGATAAGAAGAATAATAATGATAATAATAATAATGATAAGAAGAATAATGATAAGAAGAAGAAGAAGGATAATATAAGAATAATGATAATAAGAATAATGATAAGAAGAATAATAATGATAATAATAATAATGATAAGAAGAAGAAGGATAATATAAGAATAATGATAATAAGAATAATGATAAGAAGAATAATAATGATAATAATAATAATGGTAAGAAGAAGAAGGATAAATAAGAATAATGATAATAGTAATAATGATAAGAAGAAGAAGGATAATATAAGAATAATGATAATAAGAATAATGATAAGAAGAATAATGATAAGAAGAAGAAGAAGATAATATAAGAATAATGATAATAATGATAAGAAGAATAATGATAAGAAGAAGAAGAAGGATAATATAAGAATAATGATAAGAAGAATAATAATGATAATAATAATAATGATAAGAAGAAGAATGATAAGAAGAATAATAATGATAATAATAATAATGATAAGAAGAAGAAGGATAATATAAGAATAATGATAATAAGAATAATGATAAGAAGAATAATAATGATAATAATAATAATGATAAGAAGAATAATGGTAAGAAGAATAACAATGATAATAATAATAATGACAAGAAGAAGAAGGATAATATAAGAATAATGATAATAAGAATAATGATAAGAAGAATAATAATGATAATATAAGAATAATGAGAATAAGAATAATGATAAGAAGAATAATAATGATAATAATAATAATGATAAGAAGAAGAAGAAGGATACTATAAGAATCATGATAATAAGAATAATGATAAGAAGAATAATAATGATAATAATAATAATGATAAGAAGAAGAAGGATAGTATAAGAACAATGATAATAATAATAATGATAAGAAGAAGAAGGATAATATAAGAATAATGATAATAAGAATAATGATAAGAAGAATAATGATAATAAGAATAATGATAAGAAGAATAATGATAAGAAGAATAATAATGATAATAATAATAATGATAATAATAATAATGACAAGAAGAAGAAGAAGGATAATATAAGAATAATGATAATAAGAATAATGATAAGAAGAATAAAAATGATAATATAAGAATAATGATAATAAGAAGAATGATAAGAATAATAATAATGATAATAATAATAATGATAAGAAGAAGAAGGATAATATAAGAATAATGATAATAAGAATAATGATAAGAAGAATAATAATGATAATAATAATAATGATAGGAAGAAGAAGGATAATATAAGAATAATGATAATAATAATAATGATAAGAAGAAGAAGGATAATATAAGAATAATGATAATAAGAATAATGATAAGAAGAATAATGATAATAAGAATAATGATAAGAAGAAGAATCATGATAATAGAAGAATAATGATAATAAGAATAATGATAAGAAGAATAATAATGATAATAATAATAATGATAAGAAGAATAATGATAATAGAAGAATAATGATAATAAGAATAATGATAAGAATAATAATAATGATAATAATAATAATGATAATATAAGAATAATGATAATAAGAAGAATGATAAGAAGAATAATAATGATAATAATAATAATGATAAGAAGAAGAAGAAGGATAATATAAGAATCATGATAATAAGAATAATGATAAGAAGAAGAAGAATAATAATATTTTTGATAAGAAGAAGAAGGATAATAACAAAAAGAGAGAAACTTCATCTCAGCAAATGGAAGGTTCCGGGTCCCCGGGTCCCCCGGTTCAGGAGGACCCGGTGGTTGCCGACCGCATCGCCGAGCGGGTGAAGCGGCGCACGCGGAGCTGTCCCTTCCGAAGCCTCGGGGAGCTTTCGGAGGCCGGGGGAGTCGAGTCGTTTTTGGGTTTGGGACGGAGAGACGTCCGTTTTCTTCCTTCTTCTTTTTGTTTGGTTGGGGGGGGAGGGTGGGTGGGTGGGACCTTTCTTATTATATTTTTTATCTGTTTTGTTTTTGGTATTGGGGGGACCTTTTCTTTTTTTTGTTCCTTTCCGATTTTTTGATGGGGGGGGGACCCCAAAAGGTGCGATGGGTGAAAAGGTTCCTCTTGGTTTCACAAAGTAGGCCAAGGTGAAACGCCCACCCACAAATATAGACACACACACACACATACGTTGTAAAGGGGCTTTTTGAGGGTGGGGTTTATGATTCCGGGTTTCCTACCCCATCAAAGGGACCACACCTTGAGTTCGCCAACGTGTTTAAAACCACAAGGGGAACTATAAAATACCTTGTGGTTTGTTGGGACTTTCTCAAAATGGTTTACCCCTTTTTGAAAGAGGGTGGCCAGCCGTTGAAACAGGAAACGGGAAGACAACAAGAAACAGGAGACCAGCCATAGAAACTCGCAAACTGCGCTTTTCCGGGGCTCTCTTACAATTGGGGGCACAAGGGCCTTTCTTGAGGGGCACATCGCAGCCAAGTTAAGCCATGATCATAAGATAATAATATGGTCACACATTGCCCCCTTTTCTTACTAAGAAGTAGGTCAAAGAACCACCCATTGTATGCTTTTTGCTATATTTTCTTTCGGCCACTGCTAGAGGGGCCCCTGTCCACCCATTGAAGGGCCTGATGCTTTTTCAAGGTTCGGGTACATATAATCGGGGGGCGAGGGGAAGATTTCCAGGTTGAGGCGGGGGGGTATTTCTACATGCATCTTAATTTGGCTTAGTTTACATATCCAAGCTCGGCTTCCTCTCTAACTTTTGGGTCTCTTTCGTGGTCCTTCATGAATTCATTTCACCAGCAAAGCGATCAATCACTTTTTGCGGGTAAGTCTGGCCCGCTTTGGGCATCGTTTCCATGTGGAGGGCATGGGACTCCAGCGGTCGACCCCCCGACCTGAGTGGCGACTCGCAGATTCCGAGGTGATCAAGTCGGTGAAGCGGATCAGCTTCCCGGCCTCGCACTCCGTCGTGGGGAAGTACGCCAACCAGGCGCGCGGCAACGAAGACCGAAGCGCGGAGTGGAGGGCGGGCAAAACCGAAAACCGGAGACCCGGTGGCTGGCGATTCGCGATCCAAGCAGCCAGGTGATGGGGCGTCAAACTTCGCCACAAGCCTTCTTGGGGCCAATTCGGTGCAAGTTAGGGCGTGACACAAGACTAGCTCCAGGGTTTGGGGCTGTTTTCGGGTAGGTTTCATGTCCCAGTTAGGGGTCAGGATCATTCAGAAATTTGGCTGAGAACAGGTTCTGGGCGATTGGTGGCGAAAAGCTGCCTAGAAAGCTTGGATAGTGACTCGCGCGAACGTGTTTGTCTCTAACTGAGGGGATCCCCGCAAGGTATACGCGTTTTTCCATGTTTTTCCATTTGCATCCCTTGAAAACTCCCCCCCGCCCCCCCCCCCCCCCAAAAAAAAAAAGAAAAAGAAGAAGAAATCAAAGCAACAACACCAGGAGTCCCCAAACAAAGACCCTCACACCGCACACCACACCTCTGACACCTCGAGCGCTTTGGCAAAGCAAATGCTGTGGCGCAGGATGGAGTACCTTGCCCCTGCAATGGTTCAGTTCACGCAGGGTTTGGTTTTTTTTTCGGACTCTCCAAGGTAGACTTCAATTCGGCTGTTCCCAGAAAGGAGCCATTTTTCGGACGGTGTCCCTAAATTTGGTGCGGGTTTCAGCCCACTTTTGGAGGGGCCACGCCCTCTGCTCCGTGTCCCGAAAAAAAAGTCTCTTGCCGGGGTCCCAAATGGCAGGTGAACCCTGCGAAGCGGGCCATCAACGCCATCCGCGTGTTCCTGAACCGCCCCTCGGGAGAGGGGTGCCCGGCAAGGGGACAAAGATCGGCAGGTCTTCCCCGGATGAACGAACCCCGGTTTTAGTCGATATGGCGGACTGTTCCCCTAAAGCGAGAAATCCCCACTGAAACCAGGGAAAAGCACCCCCATATTCATAAGCTGGGGTTTGTGTAGTTCCCTAAAGATTTCTCCACTCAAACCCTTACGCCACGGCGTGCCTGGTATCTGACCAGAAGGAAAGCAGAACAATCTATGCCACATGTTAGTATAGGAGAAGAATTGCAGCCCCAGAGTGGGGGTGTCAAGCTTAAACATGACGAAGGTTTTCTACTTGGGGAACTCCTTCACTCCGGTTTGTGATGTGTTGCATTTTGCCGCTTCTTTGTCCCTGGCGACATCCCTGCACTTTGAACGCTCGCCTTGTGTCAGAATATCAAAGGGTCCCAAATGTCCAACAAACTCAGGTGCCCACCCCCCAAAAGCCACGAATTTTAATGGCGAGCCAACTCAAAAAGTGGTGGACATGTTTTCCCCCGCCACTCTCTGATGTCTTAGCAGAGGGTCCCAAATTCTGATTACCCGCAAGGTGGGCTTTTCTCTTGGGAGCTGTTCTTTTCGGGGTCGTTTCACCGGGAGTTTCTCATGATTCTAGGGGCTGATTCCTTTTCCATTCTTTTCAACCATCGCTCTTTCCAAAAACCGGATCCGTTTTCCCCGGGTTTCAAAGGTTTTTCTAGAAAGATTCGGATCCCGGAATTTTAGAATGGAGGTGGAAAAGGTACCTCCTAGAAAGTTGGCCTGTTGCAAAAGGGGGGGGCGCCAAAGGATTCTTTCCCTTAGAATGTAAGGAAGTGGAAGGTACCCTTAGAATGATCCGAATACGGCAATTGCATCCAGCGCCTCGCGGCTGGGCGCGAGGTGAGCTGCAGCAGCTCGAGGAAGGTGGGAGAGTCGGGAAGGTCCCAGCTCGGGGATTGGATGGGATTCCCCAGGGAAATGGTGGGTTCTCCTTCGGTTCCCTTAGAAACCACCACCCACCACCCAAGAAATAGATAAATAACAGAAAGCAAGGCGAGAAGAAATAGCAAGTACACTTTTTCCAGTCAGATCATGGAAGTGGACGTTTTGGGGTTTCCCCCCAAAGAAGAAGGTAGTTTCCGACCACCCTCCGACCGTCAGCTGTCGTGCCTCAGACGCAGGCCGCCACTTGCTGCTCCAGAGGGTTGCTCTCCCTAGCGTTCCCTGCAAATTTTGACGAGACTTGCATTTGCTGAAGGATACTCATTGTTTTTCCGTGGGACCCCTATCAGCACTGGACTTTTTTTTTCCAGGGGGCGAAGAAGCAAATGGAGGCAGAGGAACTTCCAGCGCCTGCGCTGGGCATGTCCACCCTATGATTTGCAAGGGAGATTGGCTTGACATAGGGGGTTCCTTGCTTGGATTGTTGAGAAGCAGACATCCAAAAGACCTGCATGCAAATGCCCTTAGTGTTCAGAGTTTCGTTGTGGGTAGCTTGTTTCTTTCAATACATTTAATATTATTTAGACCCGTTCCTTTTTGTTTTTGGCGCCCTGAAGCGGGGGGGGGCGCACTCCATGAGGGGCACCCATCGGGTTCTTCGGGAAGCGACCCCCCGGCTGCGGAGCTTCGCGCGTGGGAGGCCTCGGGGCGGCCATGCGGCTGCTGAAAGTGGGGGGCCGCTGTGCGGTGCTCACCTTCAGCCCCTTGGAGAGGCGCGGCTTCGGCGGATCCGAAAATCCGAACATCCGAAAATCCCTTCCCGGGGGGCTTCCGAGGAAGGAGGGGCAGTTCTGATCAACCGGTGGGGCCATTTTTGGAGTGTCAGTTCTGATAAAAATCGGTGGGGCAATGAATTTGTCGCGGAAAAAGTGTGTCGAGACATTCCGCGGAAAGTTTGCCGAAGGGCCAAAACCAGGGGTTTTGGTGCCGCAACTGAACGGAGAACTTGTTCCCAACTGGGAACAAGGTTTCATTAAGCCTCGGACCATACATGCGAAGGTAGACTGCTAAGGGGTAAACAAGCATTTCTGCTTTTGTGTGGTCTAGGGGCCCGTCGGGGAATCTTTGAAGAGTCGGCCAACATCCAGCTGTGGTTGGACCACATGTTTGCGCCAGTTCGGATTTGGATAAACCACCATCCACGTGGTGCAGAATTTTGGTCCATTTGCGCCTGACCTAACTCGGCCCCCAGGCGCGTCGTGCACGAGTTCCTTCGGAACCACGAGGAGCCTCCACCGGAGGATGTGGCGAACCTGAGCCCTGGTAGGCTGCCGTCCTGGGCGGGGGGGGGGGACTCAGGTCTTGAAGCAAATGCTCTCCAGTTCCCGAAAGGAGTTTCCTTTGCCAAGTATTGTTGGTTCCACGTTCGGGGGCAACTCGAAAGATAACTGCATAACATAGATAGAAGAAATGAATACGCACATGCAGACATGGGTCAGTGTCTTTTTCATCGGGGAGGAGTGGTTGTACATCACCGGTTTGCTGGGGAGCAAGCGCGTGTCGTTCCCCGGTTAGAGAAAAATGCGATCTTCGCTGCCATCAATCCACATTGGCAGCTTGGCACAGTGGACCAGAGTCCAAAGACCTGGTCATCCTGTGGTATTTCAGCCCGGGGGGGGGAACACGCTTCAACTCTAACAAGGCAACCGTCTCCAACAGCCCCAGGTTTTCAGGCAACACTCCAAAGATATGTTTGGTCTTCAGGGAAAACCCCCGGACTGGTGGTTTTCCGCTTGGTTTCCCCTTGAAAAACACCACCAAAAACGGGTGGTACCAACTTGGTGGCTCCCAGCCATCCCCTTAGCTTTTTAGCCTTTTAGTGTTCAGTGGTAGTTTCATTTAACCCACTAAAAGTTCAGCTTTTAGCGGACCTGAGGGTAAACAGGGCTTGGCTTCCCTTGAGAAAAGCGCCAACCGCGGTGGTACCAACTCGAACAAGCAAACGCGGCGCGGTCCGCGCGGAGCGGGAGGCTGGCCGAGCTCTTCCCCCTGGCGGGCACGGCTCTGCCTTTTTCAGTGCAGCGCCTCACTGCGCAGCGGGCGCCCCGAGGCGGCGGGGGAAGTTGGGGGAAGTTGGGAAGTTGGGGGGGGAGGGGTGGCAGGGAAGATTACGTACAATGTGCCGCCGCGCGCCTTCAAGAGCACAACGGTTCATCGTTGCACATGGACTCTTTTGGTGCAATCCCAAGAGTAGAAAGGAATGTCTTGGCACGCCTCACCCTGAATCAGAACCAGCTAGTTTGTAGTAATAGAAAAAAGGGTGAGGGGTGATGAAGACCAGATGAACATCCTCTCTTTGGTTGTGAGAGAGTGTGATAAAAGTAATGGTATACCTTCGTGAAGTAGTCTTAATGGAAACAAATAATGGTGTCCTCCTATCTATCACTTCCATATCTTTTCTAAATTAAACGTTTGCTAGCTCACAAAGATAGAGCATGGAAATTGAAAGAGGAAAATGCTAATCAAATGATTAAAGATCACAGTAACAGATAACAGAGTTAGAGAAGATCGAATGTCAGTGAGGAAGAAGTAAATAGTAAACAAATGCTGGTCAACTAAACATAAATGGAAAGAACAATCAGAGAGATATAAAAAAGGGTCTGGATACGTAGCCTGTCCGTGAGACGTCACTTAAGCACTAATAACAGTCAAGCGTCTCTTCATTCATCACTCTATCTGGACAGGCAATATTCTGCTGAGAAAACTATTAACTTCATTCGGTCACTTCCAGCGATGAACATAGTATTAGTGAAGATTCAGTAGGATTTGACAACTATTACGAGCGCTGTAGCTTGGGAGGCAAAAGGAAACCCATTAAAAAGAGAAGGTGAGAAATGAACCCCAACCGATACAAATTAGTTAGCATTACTCATGAGATTCTAGTAAATAGATAGCCTTTCGTAAATAGTGTTCCGTCCTTCTCCAGCAACTTTTACTATTAATATCCTTTTCATTCTCACCTAAAACTCAAGAATATTGCACATATCTAAGGGTAAGATAGGAAGTGAGTGAGAGATTTTGCAAGGAAATTCGAATAGAACAAAAGCAGAAAGAAGATACAAATAAATAAGCTCCATGAGTAAAGACCAACAGCCTCTTCAGAGCCAAGCAATCTATCTATGGTTATAGTTTGCGTTTATTCTGTATATTTGTGCAGGCTGGATGAAGTGGTCACGGGGTGAATTTAAGGGCAATAATTACAGAATCTTTGTAATCCCATAGCTTACTTCGTTTTATTATCTTATTATCCATCATTGTCCACTCTAGGTTTTTCACTGTGTTGGAGAGGGTTCTTGATGGACACGCATAATTTGTCTCCAAATAAACCGTTTCATTCAGTAATATTCTTTATTACTTTCATGTTCTTGGTTCTGTCAGTTGTCTATTTATTTGGTTATTTATTTATTTATTTCTTTATTTTTATTTATTTATTGATTTTTATTTATTTATTTACGTATCTATTATGTTTCTTCATAGGCCTTTTTCGTAATTCTTACGACTCCTGATAGCCGCGAGAGACGGGAGAGCAGAAGGAGTGTTAGCCAGTTCCTCTTCTTCATATTTGTTGTTACCCCCCCGGGTTTTTCTCCCCCATCCAGATGCTTCTAACGTTTACAATGCGAGAGAGAGAAAGAGAGATTGGGAAGATACATAAACAAGTAGAAAGGTTGCAAAGTGAACAAGTACATGAGAATGCAACCAGCAGAGGAGAGAGTATGAACCTATTCTTGGTAATGATTTACTTTCTGTTCCAACCATCGTGATTTTCTTTGCGTCGCAAATTTATTCAACCTCACACCCAGAAGCATGTCTATACTTCTCAGATAGTATTGTAAATAGAAGACAACGAAGATAGACATTCAAGCAATAAATGGGATGGTAAACCGAAAGGCAATGATCTTAGTAACGACATGTCCATCCACAAATGTTTCCTGGATGAAGTGGAAGAGATAGAAAGGGAAGGATAAGCTCTTGGGGCCACAAACCAACCTCTCTTCCTCCATGACTTGGACAAGGAAAGGACGTCAGCGATGAGAAGAACCCAGTCCTTACACCATCCTATGATCTAAAACTCTATTATTGTCCTTTCATTTCCAGAAGATTATTAGCAAAAGAGAGAGGCCGCTAGCATTTGCTATTAAAAAGGTTGTAAGGATTTTGTAGTCAAATCTTTATGGGTTGAAGATGTTGGTGGGTGACAGCGGGAACGGGAAAGGGGCAGACCATTTGCTCTGAGCTTTGTTGTTGAGCATGTCCTTGTGAATGAAGGGGACGCCCAAGAGCGTGGCCATATAAAGGATGAAGAGATGGCATGTAAAACCAAGACAGAAGGAAGCGACGAAGCTATGTACATCTTTCCACAACCTCCGCTTCCTTCTCTCGCTTGCGCCAGCTTTTGGCGGGAGGTTACATGGGAAAATCAGGATGCGATCGGAGGAAAAGAAAGAATCACGTTACTTCTGTTCACCCTCTCCTATCTTCTCTTCTTCTTCGTCCCAAGCATCACACGGCATAAGATTAACAGCAGCCTATGCTTGAGGAAGAAGTCAAGAGAGGCTTCTCACTTCCCATTTTCAATCTTCAATTTCATCAAAAGGAAAGAAAGAGGTGATAGAAAGACATGGTAAGTGCCCATCCAATTCTTTATCTGCAATTAGTATTGATGGGCGCTTACCTCCTTGCCAGACGCTTTACTTCTTCATTTCCAACACATGGCAATGTAAAAGACAAGGCAAGGAAAATGACAAGCGTTGGCTGGGCCGGGAAAGGAAAGGTCATCTTCTTCCATCTGTGTTTTACAGAGAGAAGCGGGGTGTGGAAAAGTGGCTTTCTTTTTCTACAAGTAAACCAAAAATAAAGCCAATATCCCCTTCCTTCGTCCCACTTTTAGACTGTTCCATCGTGAGTCTTTCGTAGTGACAGAACTCCAGAACGTATGCATGGAGTGGGGAAGGGAAAGGTAAAGATGGAACGGTTCATCTCCTTCCTATCTTCTCCCCACTAGCGATACAGTTGGAGAAGAAGAAACGGGGGGCTAGCTTCTCCCTCCTTCCTTCACCCCTCGATTTCTGGCATTCTTCAACAGTTGAAAAGGGGAACAGAAGAAGGTGAAGGATGCAAAGTCCAAAAGATAGTAAAACACAAGCAAAATAATATGAGTAAGACCTACTCATAATCCTTTTTCCTTTCGGTGAGCCCCAGAGACGACCGGACAGCCAAAAGCATTCACAAAGAAAGATAGCGTAATGAATCTCAACAAGAGAAGAATAAAATAATTTAAAAAAAAACAGGGAATGTAAGTATGGTTTTAAGATTAGAAGCATATATTAGCACGTAATAAATTAGATAGCTTCTGCAAGCACCACCCATAATTATCTTTAGCTTTGTCATAACTGTCTCGCGCCCTTTTTATGTTTTTGAGTTACGTTAGCTTGTATAAAACAGGATTTTGAAAAGAAAGGGAGGATATAACGTTTTCTACCGTAATTATACTGCCTGCAAATGCTTTCGTCACTTCTTACCCATCCAAAAATGCAAATGGGGGATGGGGATGGATGGACAAGAGGAAACAGGCAATGATTTGGAATAGGCCCCAAAGACAGGCTGGAAAGGGATATATTTACAAAGGAATCTTCAATCATCATATCCTCCAAGTCTCACGGACAGGCTATCTGGTTTATTCTGCGTGATGTCTGGGCGGAAGATTTTCTTAATCATTCTTTGTTCTGTCACACCTTTCCCTTTCCCTTACCTTCATCGCTTGGTCTAGCCTGGTATGCGATAAAATCTCTGAGATACAAATGAAGCTTGACGGAAAGGACGTATCACTCCATCCCAACAATCCCAGCAGCCTTTCCATGTCTTTCTATTTGTACGGTTTTCTCCATCTCTTTCTCCATCAGGTATGTGTGGTATGAAAGTTATCCAAAAGAAGCGTGTTACAGAAGATGTCCTCTCTCCCTTACTTATTTTATGTTTATTTCTTTATCCCTGTCTTTTCCATCCTAGTTTATTGAGTTGATTGTAGGAAGAAATGGTCAGGGGAGAGAGTGAAAGACAAAGAAAGGAGTATGAATTTGAGATCCTAAAGAAAAACAAATACATGGAAATAACAGAAAAGAGAGATTCCAAATGAAAAGATAGTATGCTTTCCTCCCCCTTTCCTTACCAAACTTCAACCGATTCAAAGTGAAAACAAACTTGGCCCAAAAAAGCCGTTAAGGGAAGGACGGTGATCAAGTTTTATCAAGTTTACAATGTTTACACCTTTACTTGTAATTTCTGAAATTCTGGACCGACTTTTTACAAACTAGCTTGCGCAATTTGCAACCCTCGAGCAATGTTTGTTCAAATCCAGCTTGTAATTCTAGATCGGATGTTTTCTGACATTGAAACGTACTCTGGGGTTCCGGGGGGATTTGGCTGGAGTTACATTACAAGTTATACACATTTTGCAGATTAGTTTCTGAACTATGCCAAATTCCAACAAATATGGTTGAAAATTAAGCATTTCACAAATTTCGCGAGTACATGTGTAAAAAGAAATTACTTTGTAAAATTTGTAAAATATCAAACAAATCTGGTCCAAAATTACAAATTTTACAAATTGTAGAAAATAGCTTCCATGGGAATTTGGTAGAAATTAAATTACTAATTTACAAATTTTACAAACTAGTTTGTAAAATTTGTAAAATATCCAAAAAAATCTGGCCCAAAAGTACAAATTTTACAAATTTTACAAATTAATACAAATTCGAGTCTGAGAAATTGGCGTCCAGGGGAATTTGGCAGGAATTAAATTACAAAGTTTACAAATTTTACAAATTTTTCAATTTTTACAAATTAATTTGTAAAATTTGTAAAATATCAAAAGATATGGCCCAAAATTACAACTTTTACAAATTTTTCAAATTAATTTGTAAAATTTGAAAAAATATCAAAAAATCCGGCCCAAAATTACAAATTTTACAAATTTTACAAACTAATACAAATAAATTTGTAAAATTTGTAAAATATCAAAAAATCCGGCCCAAACTTACAAATTTTACAAATTTTACAAATTTTACAAATTAATTTGTATAATTTGTAAAATATCAAAAAAATCCGGCCCAAAATTACAAATTTTACAAATTTTACAAATTTTACAAATTAATTTGTAAAATTTGTAAAATATCAAAAGATATGGCCCAAAATTACAACTTTTACAAATTTTACAAATTAACAAATTAATTTGTATAATTTGTAAAATAGCAAAAAATCTGTCTCGAAATTACAAATTCGAGTCTGAGAAATTAGCTTCCAGGGGAATTTGGTAGGAATTAAATTACAAATTTTACAAATTTTACAAATTTTCGAAATTAATTTGTAAAATTTGTAAAATTTGTAATTTCGGGCCAGATTTTTTTGATATTTTACAAATTTTACTAATTTTGGGCCGGATTTTTTGATATTTTTGTCAAATTTTACAAATTAATTTGTAAAATTTGTAAAAATTGTTAATTTAATTCCTACCAAATTCCCCTGGAAGCTAATTTCTCAGACTCGAATTTGTAAAATTTTTAAAATTTTTAATTCCGGGCCAGATATTTTTGATATTTTCACAAATTTTACAAATTAGTTTGTAAAATTTGTAATTTTGGGCCGGATTTTTTTGATATTTTACAAATTTTACAAATTAATTTGTAAAATTTGTAAAATTTGCAATTTAAGTCCTACCAAATTCCACTGGAAGCTAATTTCTCAGACTCGAATTTGTACAATTTGTAAAATTTGTAATTTTGGGCCAGGTGTTTTTGATATTTTACAAATTTTACAAATTAATTTGTAAAACTTGTAAAATTTTTAATTTTGGGCCGGTTTTTTTTTTTTTTATATTTTTTTTTTTAATTTTTACAAATTAATTTGGAAAATTTGTAAAATTTGCAATTTAATTCCGACCAAATTCCCCTGGAAGCTAATTTCTCAGACTCGAATTTGTAAAATTTGTAAAATTTGTAAGTTTGGGCCGGATTTTTTGATATTTTTACAAGTTTTACAATTTAATTTGTAAAATTTGTAATTTAATTCCTACCAAATTCCCCTGGAAGCTAATTTCTCAGACTCGAATTTGTAAATTTTGTAAAATTTGTATTTTCGGGCCGGATTTTGTTTGATATTTTACAAATTTTACAAATTAATTTGTATTAATTTGTAAAATTTGTAATTTAATTCCTACCAAATTCCCGTGGAGGCTAATTTCTCAGACTCGAATTTGTACAATTTGTAAAATGTGTAATTTTGGACCAGATTTTTTTGATATTTTACAAATTTTACAAATTTATTTGCATTAATTTGTAAAATTTGTAATTTTGGGCCGGATTTTTTTTGATATTTTACAATTTTTTCAAATTAATTTGTAAAATTTGTAAAATTTGTAAAATTTGTAATTTAATTCCTGCCAAATTCCCCTGGAAGCTAATTTCTCAGACTAGAATTTGTAAAATTTGTAATTTTGGAAAATATGTTCTTTACTTAACAAATTTTACAAATTAATTTGTAATATTCGCAATTTGATTCCTACCAAATTCCACTGGAAGCCAATTTTTCAGACTAAGGTTTGCAATTTTTATGAAATCAATTCCTACAAGATCTGCCTGAAAGCCAGCCCTCAGTGTGATGTTGATGCCCAGACCTCTCCCCGGCACATTATACATACTCTTCCCTCTTACGGGGGGGAGGGTGGACACTCCAGATGGCAACCGCATTCCCAAAAACAACACAACTGTTCATGCCTAAATGTGTTTGAGGGGAAAAGGGGGGCAGGATTGGGGTAGGGTTCTAGTTCAACTGGTGTTTTCAACTTGGGGCCCTTTTCGCAAGCACAATTGTTCTGGACAATAAGCAAAGGTGCGTGCCGAGTCCCATGTAGGTCTCCAGTTTCCGCCTTTTTGGGGCTAAATCAACGGATCTGAGGTATCCCCGGCCCGCACAACCCGCTGATTGGTAGTGGGAGTGCACCAAACCTGGGCACTCCTCCCTATCTCTTCGGTTTTTGTCAAATGACAACTTGTCCGATGTTGACCAAAATGATGAAGAAAGTTAACAAGTGTGTAAGCTTGGATGGGTCATGATGACTTCACTTTTAGAAGAAGGACTTCCTATGTACATAAATACATTCAGTTGCGTGTATATATATATATATATGCTTTCCTAGGGTGTCTCTCTTCAAGGGTGCCCTTTCTTCAAGTTACGGCACTGGGGAAAACCAAGCCTCGCTCCACTCTCGGGCTTCGGTGCTGCCGGCGCCCAGTCCTTCAGTCCAGGCGCGGAGTACGCCGCCTCGCCGCGGTCCCGCAGCAGCGCGCTGCTGCTGCTGAAGAAGTGCCCCCGCTGCGCAGCGGCAGCGGAGCGTTTTTTTAGGGGCGCCCACCCGGGATTACGGATATCTTTGTCATGCGAACCCTGGTTGATGAATAAACGCCTGGTAAATTGGTAGGGCGCAACTCCATGTTGGGGGGTATACGGATCACTTTGTTGGGGAACACGCCCTTATATCCGGGACATCCGCCGGGTTGAGCAACCCAGAATTGTTTCTTCACTGCTATTCGCATTTTTTGTTTTTCGGTTCTGTTCATTTTCTTGCCGGGAGGGGGGGGGGGAGCATTTTTTTTTGCTACGTAAACAGCGTCTGTTGGAAAGGCCAAGTTATAGAGCTAAATTTCAATTCCAAATAAGAACTGGGCCCCATTTTGGGATCCTTTTTTGAAGCTATTCTTTGACCCGTGCCAGGCATCACCACCTGGCCGCTCGTTTGATTCTGTACGTAGTTTTGGATGGGGCCCTGAAAATACACCAGTTTGTTGAACACACTTCAAGACTTGGCATTGATCGCTCGCAAGAGGTTTCTTTATTCTTGGCAGGCAATGCCGCACACCCTTTTCATGGCAGAGCTGGGAGCTCTGTTGAAGCCGTTTTGCGCTTAAAGATTTACCCTCCCTCCCAGGTAGCACCTGACAGGCATCCCTTGAGGAAACTCATCTTCCAGGAGCCCATCTACAGGTGCTATGTGGGAGTAACTCAAATTCCTGGCCAACGCCCATTTCATGTCTGTTGTAGCACCTTTTTGTGGTGTTTTTTTCTAGAGAAGCCAGCTGGAAAGCCGGATTCTGGGGGGTCTCAAGAACTGACGCACCCAAATAGGCAAATAGGCCATATCATATAAGGGTGATAGAGTGGTTGCCTAATCCGGGCAGTTGGGGGCTGTGAAAGTGGGAGCAGAAAAGGCAAGACAGGCGTGATTCGCATTTTCCTCTTACAAAAGCTCGGTGGCCACCTCGTTTTCGGGGCCGAAGGTCTAAAACCAGCTGTCACTTGGCCTTGAGTTGAGGCCTTTGGCCATTTGCGCGTCCTGTCTGAGGGCTTTCTTGCCGGTGAAAGAGAAGCCGCCGGGAAGCCGCGCCTTTTTTTGGGCGGTGGCCTTTTGTTTGGGCCGCACTATTCTAGGGCTTGATTCCCCATTCTCTTCAACCATCCTTCTTTTATCAAAAGCCGGATCTGTTTCCCTGGGTACTTGATGGCTTCCTGAAAAAAAAGGTTCAGCTCCCTGAAAAAAAGGTTCAGCCCCCTGAAAAACAGAATCAGCTTTTTGGGTCTAGGACATGGACATGGAAAAGTTCCCCAGAGCCATGGCCATGGCCTTCGGTCGCTCGCCGAGGCGCCGCGCCGCTGGCTCCCGTGCTGCCGCCGGCCGTGCGCCCTGCCCCGGCGCGCTTCCGGGAGCCGCGGCCGCCGCGGCTGCGCGGGGGGGCGGCGGAATGAGACGCCTCCGAGCGGAGCGGGGGAAGCGGAAAAACAGCGCCCTACCCGGCGGAAAAGGGTACTTTTTCGTTTGTTTTCTTCCTCCTTTGGGGTTTTTGTGTTTGATTTTTTTTTCAAGAGCTGGTTGGCTTGGTTGGTTTCCGTTCACCTGGGTGTTTTTTGTTTGAAATGAGTGCGAATTTAAAGGCTCACTAGATGCGGGCCGGAACCAGCGGTTTGTGGAGGAAAAGCTGGGGGTGGGTTTGGGGAGGGTCTGATTGCTTCCCACGAGCACTGCCTTGTCAAAGAAAGCTCAGCGGCAACCTCCAGCCGGGGGCCCATGAAGGGCTCGTTCATCACAGGTTCCAGCAAGGCCGAGATTCGCATGGAAGGCGTCCCAATCAGTCCACAGGCCATCCCAATCGGTTCGCCAGGGCGTCTACTTGCCCTCCCGACAGGGGGAGGGGTCCTGGAAGACAATTTTCCTCGTTAAGGGGAACCTACTTGTCAGGTTCCGCGCAGATTGGCGGGAGGGTACCCATAGGTGTCCTTCTTGGTTTGCATTAAAACATCGAGCGCGTGGGTTTTGGGGTTTATGCCATCCATTTCCCAGGGACACCCATGGATTTTTCGTCAAAAGGCCACCTATGAAGGAAAACCAAGTGAGAGACTCGGAGGCCTATCTGGACGTGGAGCCTCTGGAGGACCGGCTGGTGCTCTTCAGCAGCCAATGGCTGGAGCATGAGGCCAGACAGCGAGGCATTCGCCTCGAATTGCTCGAGGCAGTCGGCTAACCCGGTGTCGCAAATTCGGCACTCACTTCCTGAGTTCATGAGCTTTTTACGCTTTTTGGGTTTGGACCATTTTAGTGGTAAATATAAAGTTTCGACTTTTTTTTTTCGGGCCATCCACTCAGCAAGTGAGGCAATCCCTGGACTTCAATCAAGGGGAGGTCTCTCATTGAGCTGAACTTGGCAGTTCGCGGCATGGTGTTGTGTCTTCCTTCTTGTTGTTGAATCGTTCTGTTCATGTTTTGTGGAGGCAGAGAGATTGCAGGACACCTCGGTTTGGCAGAGAAGGTGCTATTGGATTTCTCTGAGAAGGTGGTGTTGATGAGGGGTTTTCGAGCTGTCAGCCGTTGAAACTTAAGATGAAGCTGCATGCCCACAAGCTGCTTTCGCATCGCTTCTGCCTCTGCTTTCCACCTCAAGAAAAAGGCAGGAGTACCAGCAGCAGGCAACTGCGACTCGCGTTGGTGTTTCTTGTTTCTTCAGTTTATTGTCTGGGTTCATGTTCAGTGGCTGCATGTCGACAGGTTTGGCTAAGGCGAGCAAACCGAAGCCGCCGGTCAGATGGAAGTAGGGCTCCGCCATGCGACGCGGCCGCAGCCGCAGCCGCGAGAACGGCGAGAACTGCGACGGCTACGCTGGCGCACTGCGAGTGGAGGTTGGGGTCGTGAGGGGCTGGTGGCCCTTGAAACATGTGGGTATGTTTTTTCTTTGGGGGGGTGCCCTTCTTAGGCTGGTGAGAAGGGCCAAGTCGCCGCGAAATTCGATCCACAGCCCGAAAATGGGGGGGATCCAGCTCTCGAAAAACTTGGGAATTTGTGTTTCCGCCATTGGAACAGGAACAGGACGGGATCCGAGAAAAAGGGAACCGCTTGCTCCAGGCCTATCCTAGCTGTTGGTTGGAAGGGAGCCAAGAGTTGGGGTATCGAATGAGCTAAGGAGAGCTACAAGGAGGGGTAGCATCTATTTTTTCACAGGGCACCCTTCCATTTGCTGAAAGAAAACACTTTTTTCCCTGTTGGTTTTAAAGGGGATCTATCATTAGTAGACACATTTGTATATTTCTCCTGCGGGCAAAAAAGGCAAATGACAGGTTCCTGGGTTGCTGAACTTTAGTCACTTTTTGGGTTTGGACCAATCAAAGGTGGCAAACACACAATTTGGCTACTATTTTTGAGAGTGAGTTGGAAAGAGCCATAGGCCCGCCCCCCAACCCTTGCAGTGGAGTTTGCAGATATTTGAAGGGAGCCCTGTTTCAACCAATTTCCACCCCAACCGCGCCATCCCAGCCATGTCGGTCGCCATGGGAGCCCCTCCTCAGCCCCGGCGGCCCTGGGCTCTCGAGGTGCATCTGCCCAACGGCAGCGGCAGCTCGGTGACGCGGCCGCCTGAGTGCCTGGTGCGTGACCTGAAGGCGGCGGCGCAGCAGCACTTCTGGCGCCGGTCGCGCGGGCGCAAAGGAGGAGGGGGGGGATGACGCTGCCAGGGGATGGGCCGGTGGGGCCGGGGGTCTCTTCTTTTTTTTTGGGCGGGGTGTCCTGCTTTTTTTAGGTTGGTTTGAAGGGGAGGAAACCATCGCCTTTTTCTGGAGGGTCCCACTTGGAAGGCTGGTTACGAAGGGAACATAGTAGAAACAGGACAAGCTTGTCATTCAGTTCGGAGCACGAAGGTCCAACAGGGGTTTCGGGCAGTGGCCATTGGTCAATCTCAGGCGAGCTCACCGATTTGCGGTGAAGCGAGCGGCAACTCATGGTGTAGGTCCGGGCAAGCTGACGCGTCCTTGCGCTGAGGTAACCAAGTGACTAGACTCAATGATCCTTGCTTTGGGTGAGGGCGACAGCTCAGGTAGCTCGGGGGTCATTGTTTTCGGCTGGGACATGTTTCACCTGGTGGATCCTCTGATAAGCCAACAAATGGGAAAACATGGACATGACTACCGCTCAACACGCCAATCGTTTGTGTCCTGTCTGCGTTTTGGTCTCCGAAAATCTCACCGAGGTTCTTGCGGCTGGCTGCAGGTGGGGGTGGTCCCCGGGTTGTGTGGCATGATGGTTTCGACGCGGAGTCGCCGAACAGAAAGCTGTGGCAAATTGGGGATGGCCATTCTGACAACTTAGCTGGCCGGCCTTTGCCCCATGCAAAAAGATGTGGCTTTGGGTCAAAAATAGGTAAATGGGACCCTGGTACACGCAGAATCAAGTTCGGGCTTGACTTTCGAGAAAATGGCACTTGTGCTTTGTGTAAACATCGCCTTCTGGGTCACTTTGCACATTTCGTTTGGTGAAGTCATGTTTGGGGTTTTGAATCATTGCCTTTTGGTTTCAACATATATGTCTTCTTAGCTGGTTGGGTCTTTGGACTTTAGCTTTGGGAACGGCGGATTTCCATTGGACCCACGAACAGTCCAATACATGGAGGGCACACACGGTTCAGCTTCTTGCAGATGGGACAACCGCCAAGTTTACTTTGGGATCCAATTCTTGTTGCAAATTGTGGGGGCATGTTGCTTTTGACATGGTTGTTGTTGGGACACAGTTTGCCGAAATTTATTTGTTTTGCTCCCTTAACGTCAGCCAAGTTGAGGGGTCAAGCAATTTGGAGGCCAGGGCTTGCTTCGCTTCGGAGCCGGCTGGGCGTGCCTTTGGGTGCGTGTGGCTTCCGCCAGGCAGCCGCGAGCTCAGCTTGACCCAGACGCTGCACCAGGCCGGCGTGCGCAGCGGGGATCGGATCGAGGCCATCCCGGGCCACGTGCAGCTGGCCGCGACGAAGGGGGCCTTTGCCGCTCGCGGCAGAGAGACTCTCGCTAAAGCGAATCGGCCTGTTGACGACCTTTTGGTGGTGATGTGGCAACCATTTGAAGCCGTGGGCCCCAACAGGTGGTCACCCTGTTATGTCCAGGTCCGAACTGGGCAACTGAGGGTTTGCTGGTGGTTGTAGGGGTCTGGGTTTCGCCAACTTTTACCCGTTTCTTTTTGTGTTGTTTTTTTTTTTCTTTTTGGGGGGGAGGGTTCCGCTAGTAAAATAGACTACTACAATAGACTACTAGGTGATGGCCTTAAGATAGGCAGCACTCAATGTCGATTCTGCAGCAACCACTTCCAATCCTTCATGTGCTATTCATGCAGATGCTGAATCTGCAAACACTGGGAACGAGAAATGGCGCATGGCCCCCAGAAAAACCATCCTGGTGGTTTCCTTGATTCGGGAATCCCCAGCTTTAAGGGATGCTTCTGGAGCTTTTTGGAACCCAAACTTGGTGGATGCCAGCCACCCGGTTCCTTAGGTGTATAGCTCTTTCAACCCACTAAAATTTCGTCACTTTTAGCTGGCGACCTGGAGACAGCCCAGAAAAGGCACCCATTTCTCTGGGAACGGTCAAAATATTCCAGCACATGTCAGGCTGTGGTTCCCTAGCTGATCTAATTCCAAGAAGAGGAGAATTGCTTGAAAAAGTATTTGGAGTTCCCTACCGGGCAGGGGTTCGTCTGTGCGCTCGCAAAGTCGGTCGCCTGTGCACTCGGATTTTGGTCGTGCGTGCACGCGCTTTGTAGCCAGTCCGAGCGAAAGATCGCGTTACGTACCAGCAACGCGCGGCGGGCATTTGTGCCGCAGGCGCATGCTCTCGTTCACCTGTGCACTGCGGGCCAGTTGTGTGCGGAGGTCGGGGTTGGGGGCTGTGGCTGTCTGCGGGGCCCGTGCTTGTGTTGTTGTTTTGCAGGGTGTGGCGTTGGAGAAGCGTGGTGGTGGAAGGTAGTTGTTGGAACGTTGCCAAGGCTGGGTGTGTGTGTGTGACTGCCCATTTGAACCTGAAAGTTCAAGAAGTTTTTGGGCTCTGTTGGGCTGTTGAGCTGTTGTGGGGCTGTTGAGTTGTTGGGCTAGTGGTTTTGTTGGGCTGTTGGGTTTTTGTTGGGCTGTTGGGTTTTTGTTGGGCTGTTGGGCTGTTGGTTGGGCTGTTGGGCTGTTGGGCTGTTGTTGGGTTATTGGGCTGGTGTTGGGTTGTTGGGCGGTTGTGTTGTTCGGCTGTTGGGCTGTTGGTTTTTGTTGGTTTTGTTGAGGGGTTGTTTGGCTTTTGGGTCGTTCGGTCGTTGGGTTGTTGGGCTGTTGCTGGGTTGTTGGGCTGTTGGGCTGTTGTTGGGTTGTTGGGCTGTTGTTGGGTTGTCGGGCTGTTGGGCTGATTCCCCACATCTTTGTGTGGGGTTCTTACTTTTTCCGCTCGTCGTCCGCGCGCCGCGTCTCCTCCTTCACTCACTCACTCACTCACT